CCATGGGCCAAGAGACTCCATAATCCAGTTAGGTTAAAAAATACGAACTGTTGTTAATACCAGGTGGTATATTTACCTTGGAGACCTCAAAAGAGCTCTTCCAGTCTTTCGTATTTCTCCTCCACAAAATCGAGAAGTAACTTTGTCAAAATTGGATAAAAACTGGAAGGGGTGTGTGTTTGCTCTCTTGCTGCAATTTCGGTTACTGCTTATAGGTAGAAATTATTGTATGGGTTTTAATGGCAAGCAGAAATTATTGAGGAACAAGCGCACTCTAGGTGCAAAACCAGATCCACAGTAATGGTTTATCGGGAGGGGAACGGTTTATATACAGTTTAAGGGAATCTGCCTCCCCTGGGAGAACAGTGCAGCCAGCATCCCAGCCTGTTACTGTGCTGTGGGGAACTCCACTGCACTGGGAAAGGAGATCTGCAAAGTTGAAACGGCAGCTTTTCGTGTGAACAAGTGGTGAAAGCTTTTTCCAGTGCTCCCACTGCTCCTTAGAAGCCAAGGTAGATACCAATTCTCAAAGCCTTTACCAAAGTAGCAAAATGTCAAGGTAGCGAGCAAGCCTGGGGGATTTTTATCCCTCCATGTCATTTCTCAGGCTTTGACTAAATCAAATTGTCTGCAATGACAAAAACTTAGCTTGTTTCTGAGATCTCTGAACTTTTTGCCTCCCGTGACCTGAGTCATGGCTGCTCGTGCAGTGATAAGAAAGAAAAATGCCTGTGCCTGTTTATTTTAATCCTTTTTTTTATGCTTTCAATCCTGTGGGACTATCTGGAAAGCTAACTGGATTTTCTCCTAGATTGTGTATTTGTGAAATAAAAATGCAGTTTATATAACATCTTATAATCATTCTTCTGTTACTGTAATGCAGTATATGGGAAGACTAAGAAATTAGCCCACTCAGCTGTGAAGGAAGCATAGCAGGTCCTGGAACAGAGAAGTGGCCACTTGCCTTTTTTTAGCATCCATAGCCATCTTACATAGACTCAGCATGTGATGTGTATGCGGGGAGCTGAACAGCCAGAAGAGGGTAGCATAAGTTAGTTAATAAACCTCATCTATAAAGCAGAGCTGTTTTTGAGAGAAACACCTACTTGTATTTCTGGCTGCAAGGCAGAGAGAAACATAACATTGAGAAACTCATCACCAAGCTTTTGACAGAATGTGGAAAGGCAGATTTGCAGTCAGAACTGACAAGGATTAGACTGACAGCAGGCCACAGATTGCACTCTGTTAGCTCCTGCTTGACCAATGCTTCAATTAATGAAAGTGCACACCCAAAGCAACTTCATTACTTTGCTTTTAGGGGATAGCAGCACAAGTTAGTAAAACTAACAGTGTTACTGAGTGCATCCTGGCACAGTGTCTTGCCTGCAGTGAATCCGAAAGGCCAGATGTGGAAGTCATGAAAACGCGTAACATTGAGAGCACCTTAAGGGGATGGTTCAGGGCCAAGGTAATAGAATATGAAACAGG